TTGCTGTTGTTAGTTTATCAGACTGGAACTGGACTAAGTGCACCATGAAAACCATTTGATGCTTCTTATCTCATTCAGTTGAATTCATTTCTGTGCTTTATGACTTTATTTCAATAGTTCAAACTCCCAAAAGTTTGAACTGCAGAACAACAAACAAAGGACCTGAAGACAGAAGCAAATGTTCTGTTGTGTTATAAAAGTGATTTTCTTTTACTTCTGTTCCCCTGTACTCTTGATGGATGAGAAGCACAAATCATTTCTTTACTAACCCCTCCTGTTGTTGTTTGCACAAATGAAGTCCGGACCGAGAACAACAACAGTTCAGACAACTCAATGACAGGGAACACATTTCTAATCTTGTCCATCCTGGTTGTTATTAGTGCCATCATCTCAAAGCCATGCATCATCGCAGGTCTCGCTGCGTCTCGTAAGCTCTGTATGACTTCACTGTTATACCTGCCTCACATTTACACACATTCTGTCTTGTTTTCACTGAACGCCAACTTTCCATTCTCTCATCTACCTCCTGCCTCACTACAGATCTCAGTATTGTCTTCGAACATCACGGTCTATGGACGCTGACTTCATCTGTGTCCATCACCACAGCAACCAGCAGTCGGGCTTCATGCCGAGAAAGAATGAGAGTCGCCTCTCTTCTTAACCCAGCTCCAACAACAACTCTATCCTACCTGAGCTCTGCACATCACCCTTGTTCCTGGAAATAAATACGTACAAATCCGTTCCTCGGGCATCCTCTCGCTCTCTAAGCTTGTGTCAAACAGTTTGGTCCATAAACAGGTACCAACATCTGTACCAACTCATCTTCTTCACAGCTGCCCTCCTCTTTACCAATGCTCTGTATTTCCTGATTCACTAACTGTCCTCCATCCTTCTCAACACGTGTTCTTCACTCATTAGTACGTTCCCATCTCTGTCTTAACTCACTGCAGGTGTAAATCAACACAGACCCCAGGATACGACATTCTCACCATACTTCACTCACTAAACGACATATTTGCAACTTCAGAAATGTTGTGATATGCGGTATTGCAATAACATATACTGATTATTATCACCTTTTCTCAACTGCAAATTGTGTGCATACAAGCCCTACATGACCAACCACAATGCAAAGTGATGTAAAGCATGCTGCCGTGTAGAGCAGTAGAGGCCTGTCCTCTGGACTTTGGGTTTGGTGATTGCCAACAGAGCATTACTTCTCTGATCGCACTGTGCCAGGTGTAAAGTTTGGTGGAGGGGGATTATGATGGGGGTTGAATTTCAGGAGTCGGTCTTGCCTCCTTAGTGGTAGTGAAATAAACTCATGAACATTTCCTTTGACAAAGAACAGCTGTACAGAATCTCAGGAGGCTCATCTTGTTCGTTTGAATCTTTTCTGCTTATTAATTTCTATCTGTGTTATTAACAGTGTAGGGACTAGTTAACTACGTTAATAACTACCTTATTATTGTGGTGACCAGCACGGTAACTAGTTATTATGCCAAAATCAGAAACGC